GGGGGGTTTAATTTTTTCTTTTTCTTTACGTGACTTTATCTATTAAATTCATAATTATACTATAAGAACATTTACTATTCATAATTGAATTACGCAAATTATATGTTGCTCGCTTTTTTAAAGAAAATTTATATCGTCATCTTTATAATTAGTTAATTAGTTAAGATAAAAAAGAAATGCGTTTCAATTTCTTGTTTTGTTATTTTGAGTGGAGAGACATGCATGTGCCTATAATTTAGGAGAATTTTTTTAGGAAGAGATATAACATGGATAAACTGCGGTAGCAGTTAAGGTGATGATTTTTTTTATTTTTTTAGTTTTCAGTTTTTAAAAGTATTTGCCAAAAAACGTGGGACTCCATGATGTTAATTAATAATTGAATTAGTTTATTAAAATTTTGTAATTTCTTTTCTATTTTAAAATTTTTTGAATCTCCAAAAGTATTGGATTTTTGTCCTAAAATATGACATGTGTTGATATTTGGTGTTGACACTTGGTATAATTTCATGGATTTGCTTCTCCTTTAATATATTAACTAGTATACGTACCCGCGCGATGCGCGTATCGATTCAAAGAAAAACAAAAGAGCGGAGAGAGATAATAAAAATGCATGTATATTGCAGATTAAATTTATCGATCACAATCAAAACAATTAAAACAAAAAATAAATATAAGAATTTCATCATGTAGTCTCTATATTATTGTTGCCAAGGACCACCAATCCCAAGTGACTTGTTAAAAAGGGGTCTGACCATGAAATATTTTGTCTTCTTGTTGATCGGTAAAGGATTTGTTCCTCATTATGAGTTAAAAACTTAGCAGCAAGAAGAAGAATTAACCTCAAAAATGTTTAATTTTTTGATTAGGCGAAAAACCAGCTAATTCATTTAGGCTTGCCACTTTCTTTTAATAAATTACCCGACAACCAAAAGAAAATAAAGATACACCAAAAAATACTCCTACTAATCCACAAGGACTTAAAGTATGCTTCTACATTAGTTGATCACATAAATCGATGAACTTACTTGAATTACCATCAATAAAGTTTTTAAGTACCTCAATTATTAGGGGATTAAATTGTATAAGAATTACTTCATTGTAGTCTGCTCTATTGAAGGCTATAGTCTGCTTAGAATCTTGTACCACAAAAGCTGCTAGTAGCATATGGAGCCTATCCAACGTCAAAGAATATATATGATTTACCGGAGAAGATGAATTCCAGCAAATCATCAACATTTACAATTGTCCTTCCGATCCATTCTTCATCAAGAATATTGACTAACTCTGAATGAATTTGCAAGAAATACTCAGTAATTTGTGAACAACAAAAAATGTGATTAAAGAACAAATAATATAAGACCGCAATTTGTAATCTAGTCTAGAAATAACATAGTTTCAGAATGAAAAGGTAATATTTTTAGTACCTATCCAGATAAAGGATTGTACTATACACAAGTGTTTCCAAAGTAGCTACAATAAAATGCCACGCTTGATTGTAGTAAAGTGATTCTGCAAATTAAAACATCCTTATATATGTTTCTAAGAAGATAAAGAGAATGATAAAGAACGCTGCAACTTTGCTTAAAAAAGTTAGTTAGGAGAATTATGTATAATGGCTGCTATAAATAGTTTTGTATTGATTCTACAGATCACAAGAAAAAAGAAAGAAAAAAAAAAGGAAAAAGAGCAACTCTTTGTTGGACTGTTGGACTTACTAATAATAATAATGCAAGCTAAAATACCAAAGAGATTCCCAAAGGACACCTAAAGGTAAGCAACATTCAACATATTGCTCCACAAATCAAAAAGGACATGTGGAATAATCATAGTTTCTGTGATCAGCTAGCAGTCATATTATCATCATATTGATAAATATGCTAATGAACTGAGCTTAAACAGTAATGCATATACATGTAAAAGAGCACAGACTTTCTGATGGGAAAGGAGAAAAGTTCTAGACATATGACTCATAGCAGAAAAGCAGATAATAGATTTGAAACTTGACATTGGAGGAGCAGTCACACATCAAAGAGTGCATATACGTCCATGAACATTTAGTCACTTCTTTCCTTACTGCGATTGATACATGCCTCCATGAAATTGTGGAACTAAGTGAACATTCTAAACATCAACATTCCTAGTGAAACATTCCCTCTGAACGACAATGAAACCACACGTGAACTTTCTGTGAAAAAATCATTGAAAGCAGATTTTTGTATCAAATAGCTATATTGCTCAACACTTTATATTTATAATTTGTCCTTATTTAATTTTTTTTTTGAAAAAGGTAACAATAATTTGTCCTTATTTAATTGATTAAGAGAGTACATAGACTTCATAGAATTCCGCAGATATAAAGGTAAACCAAACTCATTTGCAACCTTAATTGACCATCTGCGAAATACATGTCTCTGTTTTGTGTGCCAGTATGACAAAAGGTAAAGCATGCATATTGTTTAGTATAACTTATAAATTGATGTATCGATTATTCCCTATATTATTTACCGATTGTATCAAGTAGCTAATTTGATATTCATTTACTTGTAAGCTTTTGGATTAGATGAACTCAAACTCATTTTATGCATTTGAGTCTTAAATTAGTTAGCTTGGATCAGACTTCAAGGAAAACCAACGTATTCGTTAAACATGATAATTACAGAACTAAAAATGGTAAACAATTATAAACAAAATTTGTGGTAAAGCCTTATTTATACTACCTCCATTATCAGCATTCGAACTTAATTCTCCTTCATATGTGCTTAGGTTAAAATTAGTATTGCCTCCCTCCCGTTGCACTTTATAGCAGTCTTATCCTCGCCCTGGGCCAAAATCGTCATGTCAATGTTGAAAGCGTCAACGACATAACATAAAAGGGAGGGGGAGAGTCAAGTTATGATCATTAGACCTTGCAACTTTCATATCGTTGTCAATCAGTCCTAGATAAATATACTGCAGCATATATCCAATTACACGATATTCTTTGTTCTTTCTAAAATCTGTATAATTATATGATAATATATCAAGTAGGCTTTTTAACAGTTATGTCGCTGATATTTTGACATTCCTAAGCTATGGTGAAATAAGTGGTTAGTTACTTTTTACTGAGAAAGTGCAAAATCTGAGCTTCCCATTGATTATTTTGGGGTAAGCAAATTTGTTTGCTATAATTATTACCCCTTTTTAATTTTCTTGGGCTTTTTGGAGCTAAAGTTTTAATCTTTGATATATTTGTTGTGGACCCTTTTGATTTCTTGAGGTTTGGAGTTTGTTATTTTGGGGCATGCAAATTCTTGAATAAGATATGAAGTATTCTGGGGTTGTTGTTGTGTCATTCTTGGTTTGATTTTTGGTTTTTGTTAGCCTTGTTGAGGTCAATATAAAAGGGATGCGTCATATTAAAATGTAAAAATTGTATTTATGTAATATACGATTTACAAGTCTCTCAATCGAAAGTGTCACTCTAAAAATTTAGTCTAATGATTAGTTTATCCCCTATGCCACATAATAAAATTAGTCAATTTTACTTTGTCATTAACTAATCGAGCAGAATAAGTTCTACTTCTAGTTACTAGTATAATTTTTTGTGGAAGTGAATTTGGACTTCTAAGGTCCAATATATAAAAATAAAAATGTTATATAAAATATGAATATTAAGATTGATGTACGATAATATATAAAATTAGACAAGATTAGAAATATTATATCTCACAAAATGAGCACGTAGTACACATCAAAAATTGAGAGGTCGAATAAATGATTTGATTGTTTCATAGATGATAGACCTCCAAATACACCAGTATATGGGCGTGGGATCATTATGATTGAAAGTGTTAATAAAAATTTCTTTTTCGACTAAGTCTTGCTAAATGAATTGTCTCAAAAACCTAACAAATTTTTGAAACACAATAAAAAGGGATCCTTAAACGTTTAAAAATAAATCAGCTATTGAAAACAACATACAAGCTAAGCTTAGTTATTCAATCAAGATCTTTTCGGTTTTTGGCTTATAACTCTTTCATATACATTATCATTATGTTGTATACATGAACTTCAGGTACATCGTTTATATTTATTCTCTAAATGGATATCGATCATTCACTTTCAACTTTGACTTCAATGAGGTTACCTCACTAATCCTCTATATAATTATCATTTTGTTGTGAAGAAAATACTTGGTGATTATTTTGTGTTGCAGGTAACATATTTTATATGAACCTTATATTAATCAGAATTGCATGTGACGTATCTATACAAATTAGGTTATCATCTTTGGACATTTATAGGAGGCATTTAATTTGTAGATTGGAAGAAGCTTTGATACCTGAATTTATATTAACTCCAAAAGTTAAAGAATTTTATTTGGAGGTTAGCTCGAAACATTTTACTTAGCTTATTAAATTAAATTTACTAGCAAGAAGCATTAATCTTCAAGCGGGGTGTAATTTTTGTGGCTCAGAGGGAAATAGTGAACATGTATTTAATTTCCTGATTGCTAGAAGGCAATAGAAGTCTGGATGGCATGACAGTATAAATCTGGATGTGGAAGGCATGCATTATTAGTATGGCAGATCAGTTCCTTAGTCGTGTTGTTAATGACTCAAATTCTTTGAATATGTGTAGACGAATTTGTATGAAATTTTTTAACGAATGGAGGTGAGGATTGTCATGACTGAGAAGTCTAGTCTAGTGAGTTGAAAATATAATATAGATGCAGTTATCTTCCTTACTTCATATCCTCGCGTGCACAGAAGCAACTTACTGACAATATCTAGATCTTCAACTAACACTAAACATATGGTTATTGACGACACATTTGCTAAGATCACTTGCCTATTTTCTTTACGGTGATATTCATCTTAATTAGTAGTATAAACCTACACATGAATTGTCTGGTAATACCATCTCTTTTATTCAGTATTACATGAACCGCTTAAAATATATGCTAGTATTAATTTCCAGTATATTCATAGTAAAGTAACTCTAGATGATCTTATTGTTTAATAACTTATAAAATTTCCTACATAATATTTATATAAACTACTACCACTATTTTTTCTCCAGGTAATAACCAACATTTATAAAAAACGTAACATTTGACTTTATACTAAGAAGTAAGAAGATTTAGTAAAAAAATTACAAGACAACCCCCGATTCAACATTTAAATGTCTAGGGAAAGAATCAGGGTAAGAAAACTTGTACTTCTTAGTATCTCTGAAAATCATAAGAAAATATAAAATCAAAGACGCCTCAAATGCTTTCGGGGGCTTGCCGGACCGAATGATACTCATCGTATTCCACGCAAAATATTTGTATGTGGATTGCATGGATAAAGGGTTAGAATTAAAGTGACAAATTTTTTTATTTATTGAGTCGCCACTTGAAATTGAATTATTGGTATTCCAAGTCACTTTTTATTTAAATTCCTAGTCAAATGGAGGTTTGACTCTAGTTTTATTGGTCCGCGAAAATAAAAAATCAGGTGAGAAATTCTGTTGACGGGGAGAAGGTGTGAGGCACTACCCGAATATTGTGATTTTAGCACGGTCGCTTTATTGACTTAAACGTGACTAGAATTAATTTTGGATAAATTGTGTATTATCTACCATGAATTATTATTGTCTATTGTCTCTTAATAATTAATTGAATTTTATTAATTGTGTTGACCTAGGTGTGTGTAAGCACACATGGTCAAATACAATTTATTATTGGCAAGTCAAGGAGCGGGAATGCACACATGACGATTTTTATTATTTGATATTAACCAAGGATCATATAAGAACACATGGTCCGAAGATGCGTCTAAAATTGCATAGCGAACTAAATTAGTTATTAAAGATGATTAAGTTATTAAATTAATTAAACAAAAATTTGATTTTCGGATTTTATTATCAGGGAAAAATATGGAAAACTAATGATGGGCCGGCTCATTTATATTGGAACTGCTGGCCCGTTTTGGCCATTATGGGCATTGAGCGCAATTCATGTAGCCACTTCGGCTGCTGGCCCCGTTTGAAATTAAATGATCATTGGGTCAAATGTTGGTTACTGTCTTTGGGGCTAGCATTTTGACCTTTGCCCAATTCCTTCTTCCTTAAATGAACTTAGTCCAAACATAAGCTTACTATTTCCCACTCCTTCGACCCAAATTAATTACTGGTAAACCATTTTTATATTTGCAGGTCCAACATTTTTATCCTTTTCATCATTTAACTACTATTTCATGCTCATAAAAATAAATCAACACCCAAGTATTTATAAAACAATAATTACAAAAAAATAACACACTAATCAAAAATAGTAAAAGACATCACAGATCATTGACCATTGCCTAACAAATGTCAAGAATATGGATAAACAAACTAAACTCAATAAATCATTGAAAGAAAAAACATATAAAACTAAAAGAAATCATTTTTATGAAACACAAATTAGACTAAAACATGAGATAATTCTCCAGCTTTAAGTATACACTGCAACGAACATATATATATTGACCAAACAGAATCTTAAAACCATTCTAATGCATCACTGTTGCTTTCCACTTGGCTTACATGAAACCACTTTCAATTATTTTGAATATCAAACACGTTAGTAAGAAAATGGTGATCATTAGTTTCCATCAATACTTTACAAAGATGAAGCACCTTAACCATGAAAAGAAATGTTATTTGGTGATTTTTCACAAACAAACAAACAAAAAGAGGGGGAAAAAGTGACAGTGAGCTATGAGCCAAAATGTTTAAAGCACGGTGTCAACCAAAATGAAACAAGAAGTTCAACATTCATTACACATGCTTACATACAAAGTCCTATACAAACAGTTTTAAAGCTCAAAAGAAGCTGAAGAACACTTTAAGTCTGCTTCATTTCCATTCATTCTTGACCAAAATTACAACAGCATTTAAGAAGGTTACCTGGATAGCAGAAAGAAAAAGTATCAGCAATCGAGGGGCTAAAATTTCAGCAACAATGATAGCAGCAAACAACAGCTTGTAATCCAAGAAAATGACTCAGAAAACATCCAGCAAAGACACTTGAAACTAGAAGCTAGTGATTCCACAAATTACCCAAAAAATCTTTATATTTTTGTGAAAGATTTTACACTCGAAAATACTCACAAAGCTCTGAAATTTCAGCTTACTTATAAGTATTCAGTTGCTGATTTTTTCTCAAAGATATGTGTCTCTTTTAAAGTGTGTAAAAAGGTGTAGAGTGTGTGGAAAGACCTCTCCTTTATAGGAGAGGATAAGGACTCTTCGGACCGATTTTGTTTAGCCAAAAATCTATCCAAGATAATAGATTTTTTTACCAAAAAGGTATCCGAAACTAGAAATTTATACAATAAACAGTTTACTTTACTAATTGTGGACAGTTTTTTGGAGTATTATGCTCCAAACAGTCACCCGACAGTAAAGAGCAACCCAACCAGGGCCCTACACTCAAGTACCGCCTTTTATTTTCCTTTCCTCTTAATCTTAACCAAAACTTAAAACTAGCTAGTCCACGAAGAGAAATCAGATTCAATCTAGTTCCAACACTAGTAATTCGAACAAGATTGGTGTAACACCCTAAAAAATTTTTGAAATACTTAAGCTATTAAGAAAGTTGATGTGCGCTAATTATATTATTTTGTGCGCAAAGACGGACTATTAATATGATAGATACCAATTGGATATGATAATAAGTGTACGAAGTATATTATAAGTGATTTGGGGTCTAAGGAGAAGCCTAAGTCTAAGCCAAGTTGGAAAATTTCAAGATATATATATA